TCAATATCAATAGTCATTAGGGAAGTGCAAATTAAAACAACAATGTATCACTGAATGTACATTCACTAGAATGACTTCAAAAAAACTGAAAATACCAAGTGCTGACATGGATGTGGAATAACAAGAGCTTCCATACCTTTTTTTTTTTTGGTGCACCATTCCTGGAAGCACTGCAATACCAAGTCGATGTGTGGAGTGGATGGAGCAAGCTCCTATTCCATCTCCTAATTCCAAAAATCCATTTAATTTATCATCCTCGGATAGAGAACCTATCCGATATTAAACTGATAAGAACAGATACTATACTTGATCTTAGTCAAAAGGCTGAGAAGCAATTAGAGCTTTCATACTTTGCAGATAAAAATATAAATGGTATAAGTACTTTGGAAAACATTTTGGCAATTGCTAGTAAAGTTAAATATATACTCACAATACTATCCAGCAATCCCACTCCAAGGTACTTACAGAAGTGAAATGAAAACTTCTTCACACAAAACCCTCTAGGCACATGTTTATAGCTTTATTTGTAAGAGCCAAAAACACCAGAAAACAACCCAGATGTCCTTCAACTGGTGAAGGGATGAATAAAGTGTAGCATAAATAGAATTTAATACTACTTATCAATTAAACACACACACACACACACACACACACACACAACATGGATAAATATAAAAAACATTATGCTGAATGAAAAAGGCCACTCAAAGTTTACATAATGTATGACTCCATTTCTGTGACACTCTGGGAGAGGCAATACTATAGAAAGAAAAAAAAGATTAATGGTTACAAGCAATAGGAAGTGGAAGAAATGGTTTGCTACAAAGTCAAAGTGAATTTTTGAGGGTGATTAAGCTATTCTATGTCTTGATTGTGGTGGTAGTTACATGACCATTTTCATTTGTCAAAATTTCCAGAATTTTATACTAAAAAAATGAATTTTAATGTATTTAAACTGTACATTAATTTACTATGCAAACATTAGTCAAAACAAAACTGGAACAGCTATATTATTATCAAACAAGAAATAGATCAGGGATAGAAGAGCAACATTACAAAATGATAAAAGGGTCAATTCACCATGAAGTCAAACAATCCTAAATGTATATGTATCCAAAAACAAATCTTCAAAATATACAAAGTAAAATTTGATAGAACTGAAAGTACAAGACAAATCCATAATTGTATTTGCATACTTCCACACTCTTCTCTCATTAAGGATATCAGTATAAATATCAGTGAGGATATTGATATCTGTATCAGCAAGTACACAGAAGAACAACACTATCAAACAACTGGACTTAATTGACATTAATAGGCTATTCCATCCAACAGGAACAGAATACACATTCACAGTACATGGAGCATTCGCCAATACAGACCACGTTCTGGGCCTTAAAACAAACCACAGAAAGTATTTTCTCTAACCACAAAAGAATTAAACTAGAAACCAATAAAAAAGATATCTGGAAAAAATCTCCAAATATATGGAAATTAATCAATACTTTTCTTAATAGTGCATGGGTCAAAGGGGAACGCAAAAGAAATTTTTAAAATATTAAGAATTGTATATTTATTTTATGAGAGAATAAAGAAAATGTGAGCCTGGCCGGGTGTGGCTCAGTGCTTGAGCATCAGCTTAGGATCCAGGAGATCACTGTTTGATTCCCGGTCAGGGCACATGCCTGGGTTGCGGGCTCGATCCCCAGTTGGGGGCGTGCAGGAGGCAGCCGATCAATGACTCTCTCATCATTGATGTTTCTATCTCTCTCTCTCTCCCTCTCCCTTCCTCTCTCTGAAATCAATAAAGATATATTTTTTTAAAAAAGAAGCAAACATTAAAAAAAAAATAGAAAAGAAAATATGACCAATGACTACTTAAAAATTATTATTAATTCAAAAATAAAGAGTTGTATAAAAGTAAAACAACAGCTGAAATATGTATGAACCAGGTGAGTAAGCAGTGTTTAGAGAGAAATATAAAGTACTAAATGCTTACAATAGAAACAAAGAAAGATCTCAACTTAATGATCTAAGTTTCTACCTTAAGAAACTGAAAAAAGAAGAGCAAATTAAAGAAAATATTAGATAAGAACAGAAACCAACAAAATTGAAACAGAAAAGGAATAGAAAACAAAACAATAAAATCAAAAGCTGGTTCTTCAAAATGATCAATAAGATGTATAAAGCTCTAGCCAGACTGATCAAGAAAGAGAGAAGATGAAAATTACCAAAAGCAACAACAGAGGGACAATAATTACACATCTTTCAGATATTAAAAGGAAAATACAGATAGGAGTACTGTGAACCTAAGGCCAATAAACTTGATAACTGAGATGAAATGGACAAATTTCTTTGAGAGAAAAACATTACCAAAGCTCTCTCTAAAGAAATATATAACCTCAGTAGTCCCACATCTATTAAAGAAATTGAGTTTGTACTTAAAAACCAACAAAGAAAAATCCAGGCCCAGAGTGCTTCACTGTCACATTCTAGAAAACATTTAAGAAAGAAAGAACACCAATTCTATATAAAATCTTCCAGGAAATAGAAGAGGAAATAGTTCCCAATATTTTTGAGGCCTGCATAACCCTGACACCAAAAACTGACAAAAGCATCACAAAAAACAAAAACTATAGAGCAGCATCCTTCATGAACACAAATGCAAAATCCTTAACAAAATATTAGCAAAATTGGATCCAGACATATATAAAAAGGTTAATATATCATCATCACTGTGTGAGATTTATCCCAGGAATGCAAAGCTGATACAACATTCCAAAATTCAATGAAATCCACCGTATCTATAGATAAAATTATGGGCATGGAAACCAGAAATTAAGGCCAATTAAGAGCATGTTATAGCCTCGATATTTTCGGGGCCTGTGTCACCACCGTGCACAACTCCAAAGGCATCATTTTTATTGCAGTCATTGTATTCTACACGAATGATACCCCTGCCACTGTGCAATACAGTGGCATTGCAAATGTATAAAATGGTTGCCCAAAAGGCAATGCAACCTTGAGCTGGGCTAACATAAATAAAAGATCCAGATGAAGAGGTTTGTATCTTCCAGATATTCCATATAGCCCTGTTTCATATGGCCCTGGAATACTCTAGTCCTGAATTCTCTACTTCCAAGAGTGCCAACACATTTCACCAGAGGACCAAAGCAGTAATAGCAAAGTGTTCTAAAGATCTCATGCAAAGAGTTGAAAAAAACTGGAAATATTTAACCTTCAGAAGAAAGGATCTAGAAAGCATATACTGCACTTTATTTGCTTATATTCTATATACCCTGAAGACTGTCCATCCCCTGAGGGCAGAATCCATGTTCTATTTGTCTTTGTACTGTATTCCAAACACCTATCACTGGTCCTGGAACCTGGTAAGTACTCATAGTTATGTGGGGTTCAAGAACAGGAAAAGTTAAACTTTAATAAGAGAAATCAAAAAGAGGTTGCTCTGCAGTGGGGAAGGGAGAAAGAGTTGATTGGAAGAGACACCACAGCACTGTGAAATTTTACACCATAGCATGTGTCCTTTTCCTCATACCTAACTACTTTGTATCTCATTAGCCTGGATTGGGCATGAGCCAGTTCTTGATTGTTGTATATTAATAACAGTTCTCCTGGTCTGGGAATCAATAAAACCTCTGGGTTTGACTGGAGGAAGTGTAGAAAGAATTTTGGAGAGCCCTGACCGGTGTGGCCCAGTGGTTGGAGTCTCTGTGCGGAAGGGTGAGCGGATTTGATTCCTGGTCAAGGGCACGTACCTGGGTTGCAGGTTCACTCCAGCCCCCAGACGAGGCTCATGCTAGAGGCAACTAATCAATGTGTCTCTTTCACATCATTTTTTTTTTCTCTCTCCCTCCCTTTCTCTCTCTCCCTGAAAGGCAATGGAAAAAATATCCTCTGGTAAGGATTAACACACACACAAAAAAAGAATATTGGAAAGATAATCACAATACCTACTAGCTCCACCTAACTAGCCAAAACACCCTGGTGATTAAATGAAGTAACATATCACAGGAAGATGATTCTCATATCCAGCAATGATTTTTTAAAAATAGCAATTGTGTTCAGTATTGGCAGAATTACATCTAAATTCCACCAATAATCTAAATTACAGATGTATTGCTCTTTCAGTGAAAGATCTAATCCTGGAAAACTCTGAAAATACCTGAGAGGCAATCATATGTTCCAAACAACTTGCATTATAATTTCAAAGAGTAATAGAAATGCTCCAAGTAAACTAAACAATTTATTGACAAAATCAACTTTAAAACTCTTAGCAGACAACAGGAAAGCACATGCTGCAAAGGAAGTATAGCCTGGTGACTATAACTCAGGTATGCAGACAAGAGCTACATACAAAACTGTGACAAAGACATGCTCCTTCCACTCAGCTTGTTTTTTCCTTATATAGAAAATAATGAATAAATGAATAAATAATAAAATAGATGGTCTCTTCTGCTAAATAAAAAGTTCAGACGTGGGAAAATATCCAATATACGTAGTAACCTACAACCTGATGCAAACCCTCCTAAGACTATAGATTAACAAATGAAGAAATCCAGTGCCTCTAAATAAAATATATATCATATCCCTATCATACTATAAAATGCAGTTTGTTACAATATAGGTCCTTACCAAGTAAGGCTTCCCAGACTCAGTTGTTGTAAAACCTCACACTTACTTAACATATACATGACATTATTTGAGGCCTGATAAGTACTTATGGAAATTTTAGAGTGGGTTTCCACAAGTGGAAAATTAGTACACATTTATATAATAATAAAACTCCATTTAAACACATTCAGAAGTAAAATCAATCCCCTAATACCTAACGACTCCATAAAATAAAAGCTAACTATGGCAGAACATAATAATAGGGCTTATGGCAACAATCACATCTTAAAAAGCTCTAACGCATATATAACAAAGAAATAATCAGATACATCTGCAAATATACATATAGAATGAAATTGTAAACAGACCTTTTTTCAGCTGGAGTTTTTGAGATTCAGCAGATGCAGGAAATTGAGTTCTCTAAAATGAAAGAAGTCTATGTTACAGCACTACCATAAATCTTGCTAACTTAAAGAAACATTCAAATAACAATCATCAGTAGCTCTCTAATCATGCAATTAATCCATTAATTGCATACAAGTACAAAAAATTGTTTTGAATATAGTTTTAAAAACAAATGTGAAGCAAACTATTAATAACGTAAAATACAGACTGATAATACTTATGTATATTTATGTTTAATTATAACACATGATAAAATGTACACAAATAAAAGTACTAAGTTCTTAGATACTACATATTAGTATTATATTTAATGCTATATTTATCAACAACCAAAAATGATAACTTTAATCAAAGTGAGCTTATGAGTTAGAGCAGCAGCATTTGGAGCAGACATGGATATACCTTCTCAGAAGCTTCACAGGAGGGAATACAGTGACAAGGAAGTTCTCATTCTTTGCCAGAAACTGGATGGATGGCTTCTACAGGGAGCCAGACCTCTGACATAGACAGGATTTTTGGATTTTTCAGTGATGGTGCGCTACCCACCAAAAAGCTCAGGAAGCTGCTTCCAAGCTTAAAAAGAAGCCTCAGAACTTGTGCTGGTGATTGGAACAAGCATTAGTACTGTGGCTGCAACTCAGGTTCCAGCCCTGAAATCCTGGAAAGGGTTAATTCAAGCCTTACTGATGCTGCCACTGATTTTGATGTTCTGGAGGATAAGTAGAGCAAAAAATTTCAGAAATGTCTCCATGAAGACAAAAATCTGTTCATGTTGCCCATGACCTATTCAGAAACTCTCCTCGTACTAATAATGTTCGATCCATGTTTTTCAAGGACTGTTTATATGAAATATTCAATGACTTGGGAGTCAAAGATGGAAGACTCTGGAAAACAGCTACTTCAGTCAATTCTCCAGCTGATGGAAAATGGAGCCTTGGTATTGACTACAAATTTCAACCATCTAAAACTGTATGCAACAGACCAGGGAAAACAACTTGAATCCTTGACCTTACTGGTGATAAAATGGTCCTAGAGTGGGCTCAAGAGAAGCCGAAACTGAGCATGTTACACTTAACCTCAGTGGCACAATCCTTTATCCAGCTGGGTATCAGAATGTGCTCAGGAACACCGACGTTATGAGAGATTCAGAAACTCTATGAAAACAAGTAATTTCTTTTCCTGGGTTGTGGCTGGATTGTGGATGACACCACTTTCCAAGCCCTTTTTTCTGGAAGCTGTCAAGCATAACTCTGACTTAGAACATTTTGTGCTGATTTGAAGAGATGTAGATGAGTTCAAGAAGCTTCAAGAAAACATGTTGGACAAAGGGGTTAAGGTCATCTCATATGTAAATGAATAAGCTGATCTAGAATATTTCAAGCAACTGACCTGTGAGATGTCAGGAGGGGTAGATCAGGGACAGTGAGAAAAGGTTCATATACAGCACTCAGTGAAATGAGAGTGGCAGCACAGAAGAGGGCTACAGAAGTCAGCACCATCAGACCAAGCTGTCAGGCCCTATCACGGACGGCATTTAAGGGTAAAAGTACAAGAACCCAACACAGCCCCTAGGAAGAACCAATACCCAGAAGTTGAAGGCTGGGGTTATAATGTGTGAAAGGGGGGGTGTTCCAACTTAATCCTTTGTGCTGGTTGCTTCTTAGTCATATGCAGCCTGTCCCAGTTCGAGATTAACATGAAGTGACCACAAGACCCAGATGCAACTTTCCACCCCACTCCTAGGCTGGACACACACTTATTTATGTACTCATTGATAGCTTCTTTTGTAATCCCCACCTGAGGATATTTTTTCCATTGCTTTTCAGACAGAGTGGAAAGGAGAGAGAGAAACATCGATGCGAGAGAGAGACAGACAGACAGACAGACATCTACTGGTTACCACCTGCACGCACCCCAACAGAGGCTGAGGATCGAGAGCCCACAACTGAGGTACATATGCCTGACTGGAATTGAACCTGAGACCCTTTGGTCCACAGGCTGGCGCTCTAACCACTGAGCCAAACCAGTCAGAGCCATTGGTTGTTTCTTGTATGTGCCCTGACCAAGGATCGAACCCACAACCTTGGCATATGGGGACGATGCTACAACCAACTGAGCTACCCGGCAAGGGCTTAATGCTTTTTTAGATAAAGACTTAAAGGTCTAGCTTTCTAGATCTTTTACAGTGTACAGTATTTTACTTACCTGAGAACTATTCAAAGCTTGTTCATATTAAAATTTAAAAATTTTTTAAAAGGGGGACATATGAGGTCATCTGCACAGAAATTGTATAGCACTCAATGCTATGAGGGAGTTTTTTTTAAGGGACACATCTTATTAAATAATATAATATCTTACATTATAAAATCTTCAAATGGATTTTTCTACCTCCTATGTTTGATATGATATGAGCAAAAAAATAATGGCTAAAAATTTCCAGAAGTAATGAGAAAAACTAATCTTTAGATCCTGGATACTCAACCAATCCTGACCAGGTTAAATGAAAATAAAGCTACACTTAGATACATCACAGGGACTTGCACCAGAGATAATAAGAAGTTCTTAAAAGCAACCAAAGAGTCTGGCTGGTGTAGCTCAGTGGTTGAGTGTCGACCCATGAACCTAGGGGTCACCAGTTCCATTCCCAGTCACGGCACATGCCGGGGTTTTGGGCTGGATGCTCAATAGGGGGCATACAGGAGGCAGCGCGGATCAATGTACCACTCTCACATCAATGTTTCTATCTCTCTATCCCTCTTCCTTTCTCTCTCTCTAAAAATGAATAAAAATATTAAAAAGTAAATTAAAAAGCAACCAAAGAAAAACATATCACATTACCTAAAAAGAAAGGATAATTAGACTGACAGCTGACTTCTCAACAATTAAAAGTGGAAGATGGTATTACATTAAGACATTATAAGAATAATTATTCCCAAGTACCTGGGCTAAGTAAAATAAATGCTAATCTAGACACAAGGTCAGCAAAAACTATTACCTGCAGGTCAAGTCCAGTCTGTTTTTACACAACCCACAACCTAGCAAAGAATGGTTTTTGCACTTTAAAAAATATACATATACTTTTCTTGACTTCAGAGAGAGGAAGGGAGAGGGAGAGAAAGATAAAAACATCAATGATGAGAGTCATTGATCCACCGCCTCCTGACTGGAAATCGAGCCCAAAACCCAGGCATGTGCCCTGACTGGAAATTGAACTGGGACCTCCTGGTTCATAGGTTGATGCTCAACCACTGAGCCATGCTGGCCAGGTGGTTTTTGCACTTTTTAATGGTTGAAAAAATTAATAATATTTCATAACACAAGAAAATTACATAAAACTCAAACTTCAGGCACTGGACAGTTTTGGCTCAGTGGTTAGAGCATTGGCCTGCAGACTGAAGAGTCCCAGGTTCAATTCCAGCCAAAGGCATGTACCTTGGTCACAGGCTCAATCCCTGGCTCTGGTAGGGGTATGTGCTGGAGGCAACCTATCAATGTGTCTCTCTCACATCGATGTTTCTCTCTCTCTCTCTCTATCCCTTCCACTCTCTCTGAAAAGCAATGGTAAAAATATCCTTGGATGAAGATTCAAAAAAAAAATTCAAACTTCGGTGTATATCAACAAAATTTTCTCAGAACAGTCAAACTCACACGTTGACATATTGTCTGTGGTTGCTTACATACTACAAACTGCCTAGTTTAGTTACTTGAGAGAGACTACATAGCCCACAAAATTCAAAATACTTATTATTGGCCCTTTAAAAAAGTTTGCTAACCACTGTTCTTTTAAACTCTTAGTCCAATCAAACTAACTTTCAAGAACAATGGCAGATTAAAATGATTTTTAGACAAGTAAAATTTGAGAGTTTTTAGACTCACTAAATAAACTTTTAAAGGATATACATTAGAAAAAGGGAAAATAGCACCAGAATAAAGGAGTGGAATAAGCAAAGGAACTGGTAAAATATGGAACTATTCTAAGTATCTATTGACTGAATAAAACAAAGAGTCAAAAAGTATAATTTTGTGGTGTTGAATTGAAAAATATAAAAACTACAGAACAGAACAACAATGGCGAGAATTAGCAGAAGGCAATGGGCTATGAGGCACTCAAGGATTCCTGTATTATTCAGACTTAAGTTAAGAAATTAGGGTGCTCACTAAAGGAAGACCAAAGAATACAACATATAATTTCTAAGAATGAGGATTACAAATAATAATAAAAATAAATCAATGAAAACATACAAGCAAACAAATAAGTTAGAAAAGGCAAATTTTAAAACCTTTAAAAATATTTAAGGTAGGAAAGGATTACCTTAACAAGATATAAAAGCACAAACCAATTAAGAAATGATCTAGGAATAAATTTAACCAGGGAGGTAAAAGACCAGTATTCAACAAACTGTAAGACATTGAAGAAATGGAAAAAGTACAGTAAATGAAAGCATACATCATGCTCATGGATAGGAAGAATCAGTATTATTAAAATGTCCATACCACCAAAAGCAATTCACAGATTCAGTGCAATCCCTATCAAAATACTAAGGCATTTTTCACAAAACTAGAATAATCCTAAAACTTCTATAGAACCACAAAAGCCCTTTAACAGCCAAAGCAATGCTTTTTTTTTTTTTGGCAGAATTTTATGGTTTTATTAACACAAATACAATGTGTACACAATCTGTCTATTCATTTTCTTTGTTGCGCAGGCTGGAATTGGGATTGGTGACTCTGATGGCCAGCTGGACTGCTCTTTCCACAATGGCTTTGTGGTTCTTTGAGGAGACATTGTGAGCAATCACAGCACAGTAAGATCTGGAAGAGAATCCATAAGTAGGTAAGGAGCAAGCCAGCTTGCTGCACATCAGCAACACTTCAAGCTCTTTGATCTTGTGGACCAGAAACTTCCAAAAGCCGACCGGCAGCATGTGCTTTGTTTTCTTGTTGCTCCCATAACAAATGTTGGGCATCAAGATTTGGCCCTTGAGCCTGGCCGACATGGCTCAGCAGTTAAGCAT